AGGTCGGAACCTTGGGTCTCGTGTAGGAGATATTGTTGAAGAATGCATAACCCGCACCGTCATTCAAATTGTCCATAATAACATCAACCTGAACAATCATATCAGGGTCTGGGAGGAGCTCCATCCGATCGTGAGGAACAAGCTTCATGTCATCGTATGGAATAAGGTCGGAGGCAACATCCACCTTCATCACAGCTTGTGGATGTGCCGCACTGCTGTTGTACTCGAGCCAATTGGTTTGATTGAGCTGAAGAGAAGGATCGATTACATCTAGTAAAAGTGAGTCGGCAACCATCACGATCGGATAGTTTTTATCCGTAGAATTCTTCATGGTGACCAAGATGGCATAACGTTGCGCAACGGCGATATAAAGTGTATCGGCCTCTTGCGCGTCAACGTATACTCCATCGATTTCAACAATGCGGAACGTGTGATCTTCGATATAGAAATACTGCGCCACAAAGGCACCAATATTGATCAATCGCATCAAATAGGTCTTTCCAGCTTCGACAGGAATGTTGGTGTTCAAAGTGTCATTGAAGAGGAAGGAATCCGGAACAGGCTCAGCTCCCGTCGGGTTTTCAACGCGAATGAACGGAATGTCCTCAACAAGCTCATGGTACCAATCACTCATCGTAACGGTAACTTCATGATCATACATGTCGTTGAAATATGCGTCATCATCGTGCACAATCAGAGCCTGTCGATAGCCGTCCGGGTAGCAGGCGTCGGTATGGCAGTGGTACCAGTAAGTACCATTTTGGGGGATGGTGAAGTTGTAGGTAATGGAGGAACCAGGAGCGACTGGGCATTGGGTAACCATCGACGGACCATCCATATTATTGGTACCATTTTGGAACATACCATGCCAATGGATGGAAGTCTCCTTGTCCCCAAGCCCGTTATACATATTGACAATCAGGCGATCGCCCTTGTCTACCTCAATGACAGGTAGCGGCCACTGGCCGTTGATACCCACCACCTTGCGCTCATGAAGGCCATCAGGGTTTGCATTGACCCAGGTGACATTGAAATCCAGATTCACCGTCTTCGCTTGACAGGACTGCACAAGAAGTAGTACTGCCGTAAGGCGAATCAGCATTCTATGAAAGATAGCCATGCTTTGAGATTTCGCCTGGTTTCGCCTGGTTTCGCCTGGGAGGAAGTGGGAGAAGAATTTCCGGATTCCGGACGAAAAGAGAGAGCGAACAAAAAAGACTAGCTGTGGAACGGAGGCTTGTAACAATGCTAGCGCAATACAAGATTGATAAGTGGGAAGTTAATCCATCCCGATTATCTTAATCAATCTGGGTCCAAACCGTGGGAAGCTTAGAAGAGATTTTCATGCTAATCAGATGTAACCCGGAAGTCTATTGCATATCCACGTGTGAGGTTGTCAATTTTCCATTGGTTTAGTTCCAGGTGTACCCTGGTGGGGGAGAGCCATAGCGTGAAATGGAGTTTGCTTTATCAATCGTAGGCGAATCAAAGAGTCACGAACTTGTGCTCACTTGCCAAATTGGGAGAACATGGTATGATCGTTATCTCTTCCGGTGGGGTATAGTTGCGAGCCAAACGAACTTAGGTGGCTGGACCCTAGAACATGTGATGGTACATGCCTTTAAGACATATCCACTGCCACCAATCATAACGCTAAACGCTTAGGAAAAGCTTTCCTTACGGATACGGGTGAGCTTACAAAAGGCTAAGCTCAACCGGATAAATACAGAGTGGGTCGTCAGACGCTTGTTCACAAGGTCATAGCATCTGTAATTTTGAATTTTTGAAATTCCAACAATACAGAGTATGTTTTGGTAACCGGGTTACAAGCGGCCTTATCCAGGTGCTCCTTGACTTTCTTGCGACTTGATTCTTTGAATCTCTTCTCCTTCACAGTCATACAGATCAAGCATCATGGGTAGTAATAAGGTTTTTGCTGTCACCGGTATAGTTCATGCACTGCTTTTTGGAAAATGCAATCGCTTATCAACTCGGTTCAGTGTTTTTCATTTGTTTTCGAGAATGTCTCGAGACGACAGTGGTTGTGTCAGTCCTACTGGCTTTCTTGAAGCAGTCGCTCTACGAGAGTGATCGCCCCACGTATAAAAGACTGGTGAAACAAGTATGTGTGACCGACTCTCACAATGCCATTCAAGTCCATTGGCTAAAAGGAAACAGGTCTGGCTGGGATGCGGCTTAGGACTATTTATTTGTCTCGCAGTCGGCGCAGGCATGATCGGTGGTTTTTACGGCCTCGGAACAGATACTTTCTCTAGCACTGAGGATATTTGGGAGGGTGTTCTGGGAATCATCGCATCGATAATTATCACGATTATGGGTGCGGCCCTGCTGCGCGTGTCTAAACTTCAAGACAAATGGCGTGTCAAGCTCGCCAAGGCCCTCCAAACCGAGCATGATCCTAATGAGACAAGGAAGGGTCGCGTCAAGAGATGGTTGGAGAAATACTCTATGTTTATCCTGCCATTTATCACCGTTCTCCGTGAGGGCCTCGAGGCCGTTGTCTATGTCGGTGGTGTTGGATTAGGGCTTCCTGCCACTTCGTTCCCCTTGGCCGTCGTCTGCGGCCTTTTGGCCGGTATCGCAGTGGGCTATATTATCTACCGGTATGTCGATTCAATTGCCCTTGAGAAAGATACAGGGCTAACACACCGATAGAGGTGGACGACAGACTTCGATGCAGATATTCTTGATTATTTCCACCTGCTTCCTCTACCTCGTTGCCGCCGGTCTTTTCTCGCGAGGTGTCTGGTACTTGGAGAACAATGCCTGGAACCATATTATCGGAGGCGACGCATCGGAGACTGGCTCTGGTGCCGGGTCCTACGATATCCGACAGAGTGTCTGGCACGTGAACTGCTGTAACCCAGAGATAGGAGGTGGCGGCGGTTGGGGTATCTTCAACGCGCTTCTTGGTTGGACCAATTCCGCCGACTATGGCTCCGTGATCGCTTACAACTTATACTGGATCTGTGTCATGATCGGCTACGGGCTGATGTTCTACCGTGAGAAGCGCGGAGCTATTCCTGTCATTGACCCGGCTATGAACAGAGTCGCAAGGGCCAAGGCCAGAGCCAGAGCCTTTATCCTGCGCCGTCCCTATGAAGATCCGACAACACCCGTGGAGACAACATTACCCGCTGATACGACCGTTCCTGTTTCGGAGAAACGTGCAGAGACTGGTGTCTTGGCTCTTTAAGATTTAATCAGTCGAGACGGATAGAGCGGTTCCAATATCGGAGGGGGTATATGGGCGAGAGGGGAGACTTCAGCGGGGCCACTGGGCGAACGCAGGGTCATTGGGCGAGTGGGCCGGAGAAAACGAAAACGAGGAGCTTTCAAGGTTTACTTTTTGTAAATTGAAAAACCTTGAATTATTTTCAAATGTGAACTAGAACTAGTAATTTTTACCATTTCTGCCAAGCGGCACTAAGCTTTCATGCAGGGCCTCTCGGGGTCTTGGTGTCTCGGTGGGCAGAGCGTACTTCCCCACCGGAGCAGCCGAATCCATATGTTCTATGGGTCAAAAGGTGGTCGAGATGTTTTCTCTAACACATCTAATACAAGGCTTCTTGGAAGCAGATAATCTCACTAAGCGCCGAAAACATGAATTTTTCCGACGACTTGACCAGCCTAGTGAGGGATCCGAAACATCAACCCATAGTATTTAACTGATTGATAATCTTATCGTAATACGGTGGCTATACCTAGTTAGGTACGTAAGTACCCGCTCAACCGATTCGAAAATGAATGCCAATTCGAAAATGAATGAAAAAGTTTGTCGATCTTGGACCCTGTAATTTAAAGCCCCGATTTAACCTGTACACATCGAGCTTTCATTGCCTGCATAGGGTCCCATGCGTCAATTCGATAGTTTGTATCCAAGGAAATAATCCCGACTATGTCATTCTATGCCAGCCAGGAGGTTTAAGTTTATATGGCCTTTTGCGTAGAAACACTAAACGGTTATGAACACTGCTGACACCTGTATCTCCCGTGTTCCACAACTTAACGCCACCAAAATTCCCATGGAAAGATAGGAAACTAAATCATCGGCAGAAATTTTAATCAGATTCCAAATAGGCAGCTTTTTATCTGATTGATTAGATAATTTTAAATTTTGACTTTTCATACCTATGGACGCCCCCACCCGTTATAGTATCTAGGCACACGATAAAAAGATTTTCACGGATTTTACAGCCAATATGACTCGCAATTCGCTTCATATTGCCCAGGTAGTCTCTCCATCCAACAGACTGGCTGAAGAGAACGCATGAAATGCCAAGACTTGATGCTGCCCAATGACCGAAGTGTACCTATCTTTCATCCCGGCCCTATCAAAACGGGAGAATAGTAACGACATACATTATGGGAAGAAAAGGGGTACAGAAAATGGTTGGACAACTGCTGAATATATAGCAACTACTCATTAGCCGTCTGCCCTGTGCAAGCCTACTGACAACCAATTTACAACTGGACGACCGCTAAACCACCGCTAAACGTCCGCTAAATATCCGTTGAGCAACCGCTGAAGGACCGCTGAAGAACCGTTGAAGAACCGTTGAAGAACCGTAGAATAACCGGCATTGAATAGTTTTATTTGTTTAAGGTTGGTGGGAAAAAAACAGTACTCCCCCAACCGTTCTTGGTATACTATTCTACCTTTCTACCGGCGCATGTGCGCTGCAGATGATATCCTAGTCATATTTCCTAACTAAGAATAGGAACGGTCATCGGGACGTGACGATATAGGCAATGCTCCGGTAGGCGTAGTATTTAACCTATGAGACACGGAAGTAGGCCGAATACGTATACTGGGCAACAGTGGAGTCTCGTTCATCCTCTTGCTCTTGGCACGAATTTCTCCGGTGTAGTTCCAATGTGAGGAATAAGATTAATACTTGACCTCCCCAGTCAAGCAGTGTGGATTCCAGAGATTCTCCTTTTAAGCTTCCACGTGGACTCTGTCTGCAACAGCCAGGATGAGTGACCCCAAGGCTGCAAAGGCTGCTGCAAAAGCATTGCGCCTGTCTAACAATGTGTGGAGTGATAAGTATTTTGCCATCGCTATCGGCTCACTCATGGTTCTTTTTGCCGTATATCACTGGTCAAGTGTAATTCACTTTTATTATGGTCGAAGGAAAAATCATCCTACGTTGACTCGGAAGTATAGGTATGTTCATTGCTAACATGGGCCAAGGGTAACACTAATCACCTGAATGTAACAGACAATTACAATGCCTTCTTTCTAGTTCAATAATGGGACTAAGGGCAGACCGGTCTCTTCTGTATATCATCTACTGGGTCATCAACTTGGTTCTCGCTTTAACCAATCTAGACTTTACAACTCTCATCAACGTGAGCTGACCTCGTTCATTCTCCGTCCTTGATAACTATACCTCTTGACTAACAAATTCCTAGGTTGCCAAACGATTTGGCTGGTATGTGTTCTCGATATATTATGCTCTCACGGTCTAGAAACTGACAAGCATTAATAAACAGGATTTCAGTCGCAAACTTGGTGCTTTTGGTTTTCTTGGCCTTGAAGAATACACCCCTCGCGCCTTTGACAGCCACATCCTATGAAAAGCTCCGCCCGTTACACAAGGTTGCCGGTTACACCTGCATCTTCACAAGCGTCTTGCATGCTATAGTGTACTTATCTGCCTGGTCACTGAGTGGGAGCTTGTCCGAAATGAAAGAAGTACACAATTTTGCCGGCGCAATTGCAGGTTTTGCTATGGTCATTATTGGCTTTTCAACTATCACATACTTCATGCGGGGGTATTATGAACGTAGGCCATTCCTTCATATACTACTATAATTTCCACTTCTAACATCTACAGTCTTCTATATGCTGCACATAATCATGTTCCTTCTGATTATGATCACAATCGGAATGCACCGTCCGAAATTTTCAACCTCAACAGTGATTATCATCATTTTCACTGCCTGTCTTTGGGTCATGGACCGCATTATCCGTGGCGCAAAGATACTCTGGAATTTCTTCGGAAATTCTCTCACTATCACAGCTTTGCCCAACAATGCTATTCGGGTGAAACTTAGCCGTCGCATGCACTCCACCCCCGGTTCTCATGCATTCTTGTGGGTTCCTGCCATCCGCTGGGTTGAAAGCCATCCATTCACTCTGTTGTCTTCGAATCCGTCCGAGTTTGTGATTCGAGTGTACGATGGCTTTACGCGGGATTTATATAAAGCTGCCCAAGCGTCCCCTGGGAGATCTCTACGCTGTTCCGTCGACGGGGCATATGGTCAAGTCCCCAACTTCAAAGTGTTTGACAAAGTCGTTCTCGTCGCCGGTGGCAGTGGTGCTAGCTTCACATTTGCTATTGCACTAGACTTGATCGAAACATCTAAGAAGGCAGTGAAGTCGATCGACTTTATTTGGATAGTGAGACATCAAGGTAGGTTAAAGGTTGACAAGGAAATAATGTTTATATACTCGTCAACTAACCCTGTTCCATAGAGAGCCTCGAATGGTTTGCCCAAGAGCTCAAACAACTTCAGTCCCACCCAGAAGTGAATGTGCAGATTTACGTTACCCGCCAAACTGGTCTGTCCGGCACATCGTCACCCACATCCCCAGACTCTTTGTCAGAAAAAGTATCTGTAAAGGATGATGTAGTCCCAGCAGAACCCTCTCTGGTCTTTTCAACGAATGACCCTGAGAAAGGCGTTGAGCAACAGTCTACAGACACTATTTCTTCTTCGGTCAACCGGATGTTGTCAGGGCGCCCGAATATTGGCAACTTGATCGAGGCTGCTGCCACTGGAAGCGGCAACTTAGGTGACCGCGTCATTGTTGGTGCTTGTGGTCCTAGCGAGCTTATGAGTACAACACGGGAAGCTGTTAACAATGAGTTGCTCAACGGCGGACCATCCATAACACTCTACACTGAGGTAAGCTAATGAGAGTCTCACCAGCGAGAAACTTAGCTAAATTTACAACGCAGGAATTCGAGTGGTGATACCCAATATTCAAAGGATACAATGGCGCCAATTCGTTGCAGTTTAGTGAAAAGCGTGGGTCTGGAGTACGGTATCTGATAAAAGAGAAGAAGGATGATGGTGTAGAGAGATGGCGACTGCATCTAGCTATTCCTGTTTACTTTAAGCGTTATGCCACAATGATCTACTTTGCGTTCCAATTGGTTATGATGTATGGATAATTAATAGGTGCGATGAAGGTGCAGGTCTTCACGTAAGATAAATCGCATGCTCTAAGGCGTTTTTCTTCGCACGTTGTGTTGTCTATGTAGCTTTCGGTGATTTGCTAAAATTCGGTGGCTTGATGCGTGCAAGGGCGCTGCAACCATCATGGGTATATCCGGAGGTTCCAAGATTTGGATCTTTGACTTGTTAAATTTTATGACTCGGATTTTGTTTCTGGGTTATGATTTCGATATTTACTTTCTTGCATAGTCTTCAACTTACGTGTGGGCCTTACCACAATACGAATCACTGTATTTTTATCTTCTCTCCAAAGCGATCTAAACTGGCGTGTATGTGAGTTGGAAACAAGCAGGGCTAATAGAGAAAGATTAGGCACTATAATTAATTCGGTACTCTATCGCTTAAGTATTGACAAAGGTTGACATGTCTATAAACAGGTGTGTCGAAACAGAGCGGTATATGTAAAAGAATCCAACAGTAAATCACCCCAACGCTGTGAGAAAATGCCGGCTATTGACCAATAGAAAAGAGAAAAAGAAATGGCGACCAAAATGATATGCTCTCCCATTCAAGCTTGTTCGCTGGCCTTGGCCTCAACCTGGGTCTGAGACAGGCTGGGAACATTCTCGCCCTTCAGGTAGTTCTCGAACTCGCCGACCTGCTTACCACCCTGAACCCAGCGTTCACGGTAAGCCTCACGTCGTTGGTCAGCCAGCTGGTTCAGAGTAGGCCAGTAAGATGCATGGTCGTAGCGGAATTCGACATCACCACCCACAGACTTCATAAGTTGGCTAGGCGGGACGTGTTGACGCAGGTCCTCATTGAACTTGAGCTTCTGTCGAGTATTGGGGTCAATTAAGGGTGTGATCAACTTGAAGAATCCCCAAATGACGAAGGGGACTATGATAGGAAATTAGTAACCTGTCATAAGATTGCCTGAAATATAAAGTCACTAACCGTTGATCACCAGAGCCCGACCAAGTCTCTCAGGGTAGTGGTTTTGCAAGAAGCCGAGCGTCTGCTTGGCCTGGCCCAGGCTTGCATTCTGGCCAGATTTTGTCTCTTTGAAGTTGACAATTAGGGCAAGAGTATCCTGGCCAGGTCCCGTGAGATCAATGGCCCGCTCCAGCATGAAGACAAGATGCTCGAGCTGGCGGTCACTCTTCTCCGTGTTCTGGTTGGAGGGCAAGAGATACAGGCATGGGCGTCCGTGGATATCATAGCCTAAAATGACCTGCTTGCCCGTTTCATTCTCAATTGAGATATACTCAGGTGTCAATTTCTTCAAGTCGTACTCGCGGCGCCATGTGAGGGTGCTCTGGAGCCGTGTCTCCGCCCCAGAGACATCCCACTTGGTCGCGCGTAGGTAGCGCAGGAGACAGTCGCGAGTCAACCACATCTTCTCATCCTCGGTTATGGGAGACGTCGGGGCATTCTTCTCGGCCTTGGTAGCGACTGTGGTCCACGATGAAGCAGACTTCAACACGGCCTCGTACTTGGATTGTTGTTCCGGAGTAAGCTCCGCGGGTGCTGTTGGCTTGGCTATGTCCAGCGGCTTACCGAAAGGCTTCTGAATGAGACCGTCTGCGGCGGAGGTCGGTAACTGAAGGTCAATTGGCTTCGCGGTTGAAGTAGGCTCGGCCTGGGCGTTCACGGGGGCTGATTCGACTGATGTCTGTATGTTCGCATCGGACACAGTATCGCCATTGGTGGGCGCATGCGCAGTAGCGCCTTGTTCAGAGTTGGACATGATCTTGGATGGTATCTAAAATTTATACACTATACAATGACACGTGGAAATCTAGAAAATGAAGAATAAATTTAGGGGCACTTAATTAACCAATTCCTGCGATCGACAGGTCCACTCCCGTCAAATGCTCGAATAATATTACTGCTTTAGGCCGCTTATGTCAGCGACACGGCCTCACGCGTCTTACGCGTATCTGCACTTTCAATGTCTATTGCCCTTCCACGACACACATCTCGCCACAATGGACGCCGAGGGAGAGCTCAATGAGTTTTTTGCGGGCTCATTCCCCGATGGAATCCCCAAAGATATCCTTGCCGAGCTTCTCTCCATGCTGCGAGTGCATTCGATCCCCGCGGAGGAGCTCTTCTACAAATGGGAATCATACAGCATAAAGATGGGTGAGGGGGTGACTTTGACCATGCAAACAGTGCGAGGCTTTAAACAAGATGTCCAAGAAGCTCTGGAGCGTGAAAGTCGCGACAAAGCTGGCCGACACACAGAAAAACGAAGCGCAAATACGGCAACTCCGCGGGGCGCGGCCGCAGCTGGCGGCGATATGTTTGGGATGTTCGATCAATTGACACCAACTGCCTCGAGTGGTCGAACTGGGAATGGATTTGGATCCGCAAAGCGCAAGGCCGAATTCACCTCTCCCGCTACACCAAGAGTTAGCAAGTTCGAAAAGTTTGGATCACAAGGCGGCACAAACACGCCCACTGGAACACCTGGCGATGGAATGCAGTATGTGTTTCTCGGGTGTATATAATGTTTTAAAGATGCTGATATCAGGAACAGAGCAATTTCGTTCTCCGATCGACCGAACCCTGGCCAGACGGTGGAAACCCTCAATGCACACCTATCCTTGCCAGAAACCCCAATGGCGCCATTTTCCGAGCCACGCATTAAGCCCACTGCGAATACAGACCTCAAAAAGTTTGGCTACAAGCCAATGGGCATGAAATTGTCAGAAGCCTCGGAGATTCTGGATGATCGTATCGACGAGTTCGCGACTATATTCCAGGCAGAATTCAATTCAGACGAAATTACATTCGGAAGTGCAGCCATACAGAGCACAAGCGAGATTATTGCTGTCGGACGCATCGCTTCTGATAGTCTCGAGGGGAAATTGAACCCAGCTTCCCTCGTACTCGAGACTTCGCGCCGCACCGGAGCCGGCAGACGAGTCCCCTTGAAGGTAGATGCCGTACCCTCAGTGAACTTCTTCCCAGGCCAAATCGTGGCTCTCCGTGGAATCAACCCTTCCGGTGAATATTTCACTGTCAAGGAAGTGCTCCCGATTCCCCTATTACCACCAGCGGCATCTTCAGCTGTGACACTAGACAACATCAACGAGCGACTTGACGGAGATGCAAACCCACCGCTGAACATCATGGTTGCAGCTGGACCCTACACAGCAGACGACAATCTGGACTTTGAGCCATTGCAGGAAATATGCCAGAAGGCAGCCGAAAGCTACGCCGATAGTCTGGTGCTGATGGGACCGTTCCTGGACATTGAGCACCCTCTTCTTGCATCGGGCGATTTTGACCTCCCGGATATCAAGGGGCTCGACCCGGACACAGCTACACTGTCCATAATGTTCCGGCACTGTATCTCGGTGCCACTATCAAGACTTGCAGCCGCCGTCCCAAGCATCACGATCGTGATGGTTCCGTCTGTGCGCGATGCACTCAGCCGACACGTCTCCTGGCCCCAGGAGCAGCTTCCCAAGAAGGACCTTGGTCTGCCCAAGCAGGTCCGCATTGTCTCGAATCCCGTCACATTATCTTTCAACGAATGCGTTATTGGAATGTGCTCACACGATGTGCTCTCCGAGCTTCGCCGTGAAGAGGTTTTGAATGGTCGGCCCGCAGAGGGCAACTTGCTCACCCGTCTGCCCAAATACCTTGTCGAACAACGCCATTTCTTCCCCTTGTTCCCTCCGACCGCACGGTCAAATCTTCCCAAGCCCGGGTCCGAAGGTAGTCTGGCTACAGGCGCTATGGTGGACCTGCCCTACATGAAATTGGGCGAGTGGTGGAATGTCCGGCCTGATATTTTAATTGTGCCTAGTATGCTGCCGCCCTTCGTAAAGGTATGCTATCCCTAGCCCGGGCTTTTTGTTTCCAACTACCATCAACGGTACTAACCTTATTTATTCTGCAGGTCGTCGACAGTGTGCTAGTCATCAACCCAGGCACCCTGTCAAAGCGTCGCGCCGCAGGCTCATATGCCCAAATGGCCGTCCACCCCCGACTGGTGGCAGAGGACGAGCGCGAACAGAAACAGCTGGGTCACAAGCTGTACGAGCGGGCTCGGGTCGACATCACTCGTATCTAGGAAATGTATAATCATATCGCATTACGCGCGGCGTTAAGGCTCAGACCAAGCTAGGTCTGCAGCCATTTGATATTGGCGATTCTTGGAACAGAATCGCAAATGGAAACGAATCAATGATCTTCAGGTTATATATAATGATACATCCAACGTGGGTATCGTAACGAGGCTATCCAGCCCCGAAAAAAAAATGCTCCAGTTAAAAAATGCAAGTAACACAATACACCCTTTTACCTGTCTATACGGAAAGGTAGACAGCTCGCAGCACCAACCCTAGTGGAAGGCAACCCTGCAAAGGTTCCAGTGAACCCTGATATCCATTACCGCAACCCGATAACCCTGCGCCCACCCATCCTCCGCCCTGAATCCTTGACCCTAATAACAGGCGCCCCCGCCGCCGCCGCACCACCCCCACTACCCCGCAACGTAGCCCCAGGCCCAGAGGTCGCAGCCCCAGCAGCACCAGCACCTCCAGGACCAGTCAAAGGGCCAGCATCAGGGCCATGCCCTTCGCCATTGGCAAGGGCCTCGAGACCAAGATCGCGCCACACAGCATCCCGTCTCCTCTCCATAGCGCGGGTAATGCCGAACGCCGCATGCTGGTCTGGGACGACATCGTCCTCATCTTCAGGATTCGGGGGCTGGTATTGTGGTGCCACGTAGATGTCTTCGATTGGTAGGTATGAGGGGATTGTGGAGGGAGAGGTTGAGCCGTAAGGTATGGCGTTTGCTGTGTTTGCTGCTTCGCGGTTTGCGGCTGAGGCGCTGTTAGCATTATGTGGGTCTGTTGTTGAGTTGGTAGCTGTTGAGATGTGTGGCCGTGTAAATTCTTCGAAGAGGTCTGCTAGCCGTGGTTGGTGCATGTGAAGATACGAGGCAGAGGAGTCTTTGCTCTGGTGGTTTTGTGTTAGCTTGGGATGGTGGCCTGAAATTCTGGAGGGAGGTTGTGGTTGGGTATTTACCATTTTGAAAGAGTTTTGATCCCCTTATCGAGATCTTGGGGGATGTGAGAATATATTCTGTCAATGGACTTGTTGCGGAAGCTCACTATGGCTTATCGGCATGTAACTAGATGGTTGTTGATGGCAGAATACCAATCGGGTACACCGCTCATATCACGTGTATTATAGATTATATAATCATAAGCTGGTCCATCCATGTATATTGTTAATGAGGTCTCTGTGGACTACCGAGGCTAGGCTGATCGGTATGGAGTCTGGAGCTAAGAATTTATCTACTTTTGCGACTGCTCTAAGATGAGACTTAAATGAAAGTAGATATGTAGACGGAGGGATGAAAGTGAACCATCTATATAGAAGTAGAAACGAATATATACAAAACTATATATGCTCCTCCTGCTACGAGAAAGATATATAGTATTAGGAAAACATGAGAGAATCAACCCCAAATCGTAAAATCCTCCATCTACATGGCAACTGTACGATTCGTTATTCTTCTCTATTGATACCTACGCAGAGTCCATCCCCTAAACATGACCCTCCCCAACAGCCTTGCCAAACTACATGCAGCCATCTTCGCAGTAGCGATCTTCACGAAGACAACTATGTCATCAGTCACTTCCTACCCAAGGCGATGGAATAGAATGGCGGTATGCTTTGTCGTCAAATGGAATTCGGGGGTTCCAAGCCAGTTCAATAGCATCGTTGTTGTCTGAGTAGAGGGAAAGTAGCTTCTCAAGAAGACCACTAATGTCACGTTCAATCAGCAACTGGCTCTCAGTAGTCGATAAAGCAATCAAAGGCTGCCTTTTCGACGTCCAGGAAAAGTGCAAACCCGTCAGTTTCCTCGAGCCCTGTACCAAAGTCGTCTGGTTCCTCGGACATCCACCAGACAGGTTAAAGGTTAAACATCGAGCGCATATGCAAAGGGTGAAGAATGAAAATCGTCGCTCTCGTGCCAGTGCCAAAACACCGAGAAGACAGAGGGGAAAACGGCCAGATAACCTGCGGAATATAAAGGCAAAGGCACACGCGGGCGGCCGGGGGAGAAACACTCGACTTATATGAAGTTGAGAAGGTGTTGCGGTCTTCGCGAATGATCACGAGTAGATGGAACGAGAGGGGAAGGATAATCAAAGCTGTTATAAAAATGGATCCTATCAGTAACTGCATAGTTATAAAGGGGGAAAGCCTTTAACTTAGAAGGTCAAAGGGCTTATTTCGACAGTTTGAGATCAGGAGAACAAGACCGAGGTCATCAACGTCGAAGACATCAACGTCGAGATCAGGAAAACAAGGTCGAGGTCATGAAGGTCAAAGTTGTCACAAGACGAGCACAAGCTGAGACGCCTTGAGTAGATGCAGATGTAGACACGATGGAAATGGGGTTATAATATGCGGAGAGACTCCGGGGTGGTTTGTGTACGCGATGGGGGCCAGCCCTGTGGTAACAAGGTACTGGCACTGACAGAGAACGCATCGCTATGAGACTACAACATAAACAACTCTTCTCCAAGCGCCCGGACAGCCGAACAGTTGATGGAAAGTGGTCGCATCCTTTGGGAGCAGTGTAAGCCCAATGACACAGTGAAGCCTGAATGTACAGAAGCACAGTCAAGCCACGAGGTCTAAAAATTGAGATAAAAAAAAACAAGATACTACATTCGGTTCCGCTTCCCTCGGGGAGGGAAGGGAAGGAAGAAA